TCTCATTTCTTTCTATTTTGCTTAAAAAAGCCTATTCCTAAGACTTTTCACAATTTTATAAAATACAATAATTTCAAGAATATCTCACTCTCTGTAGGTGTAGTCACATTTTAAGGATTGTGACAGTGCAGACTACTACTTTATTTGCGTTCATAGAGGGAGCCTAGAACAAAAACCAGAGTATTAAACTGAAGAGAAAACAAGGTAACTCGTACTTCCCCTGAGTGAAGGAAAACCACTCTAAACATTTCACATTTATTTATATACACACACACACACACGTACCTGTCATCATTACTTTAACAAAAGAGAAAACCCTTGTGTAGATTAAACCCAGCCAGGAACTGAAAGTGCTAGCAGAATGCTATTTCTAAAGGAACACAGATATTGAGAGAAATCATTATGTATCTGTTCTTGCCCTGCCTGGGAAAATTACGTGTATGCAGGATGCTGTAATCAGTAAAGAGATCGTCTTCCTTTAGACTTCGGTTTTCAAAACCCTCTGTAACTCTTGCAACAAATCTGCATGTTCAAATTCTGTTACAAAAACCACAAAGCACGTAATTGCCTGAACGTGTATTTGTCTGAACAAGTACTTACTTCCCTGCACCTCCACTTAATTAACATTGGATTAATGACAGTGTTCCTGGATTGATTAAGTTTTGGAAAAAATCAGTGGTTGCAATTGGAGGAGACCTCTGGAGGCCAGCCGGTCCAACCCCTCTGCTTAAGCAGGGCCACCTAGAGCCAGCTGCCCAGAACCACGTCCCGACAGCTTTTTAATATCTCCAAGGATGGAGAATTTACAGCCTCCCCAGGCAATCTCTGGCACTGCTCAGTCACCCTCAGTAAAAAAAGTGTTTCTTGATGTTCAGAGGGAACCTTCTCTGTTTCAGCGTGTGCCCGTTGCCTCTGGTCCTGCCACTGGGCACCACCCAACAGAGCCTGGCTCAGTCTTCTTTGCATCCTCCATTCAGGTATTTATATGCATTGACAAGATCCCTCTGAGCCTTCTCTTCCTTACACGGAGTAGTCTAAGCTCTCTCAGCCTTTCCTTGCACGAGAGATGCTCCAGTCACATTCATCATTCAGGGGCCCTTTGCTAACTCTCTCCAGTAGCTCCATCTCTCTCTCGTACTGGGAAGCGCCGAAGTGGACACAGCACTCCAGGTGTGGCCTCACCAGTGCTGAGCAGAGGGGAAGGATCACCGCCCCTGACCTGCTGCTCCTACTACTGGAGCCACAAAGGCAGAGAGCTTTCCAGTCAGCTGGCCCCCAGCATATACTGGTGCCTGAGTATGTCCCCCGCCAGGAGGGTGCAGGTCTCAGCACCTCCCTTTGTTGAACTTCACGATGTTCCTGTCAGCCCATTTCTCCAGCCTGTCCAGCACTCTCTGGATAGCAGCACAACCCTGTGGCGTATCAGCCACTCCTCCCACTTCTGCATCAACAGGAAACTTGCTGAGGTTGCACTCTGCCCCATCATTGTTTTAGTTTTAATGACACATCGTTTGTTTTTGGAAAAGTTAAATCTAGAAAATAATGGAAGAGACATGTGGCATGGGAGGAATTCACAAACGAAACAGAACTTTGAACTCAGGATTTGATTTCTAACAAGAACAAGAGTTTGATGCAGTTACTTAAATACAGGTCTCCAGTGCCAGGTAAGATCTGCCTAGGCTGTTCTGTCTGGTCTCCAGCTTTCAGCGGAGGAGATGCAGGTCTCTTGTAGGTGTGCTGCACACATGGATGATCTGGGGCAAGTCAAATGGCGTTAGATGCACGTGGTTAGGCACCTATAAAGGTCCCTGAGTGTTTTGTAATTGTTTGATATCAGCTTGCAAGGGTGCATAACATGCATCACAATGCATACAGTTCCACCAGTTATCATTACTAGGACAAAAGGTGAGCCCATGTCTGATGTCAACAAGCAGAAAGCAAGTCTTATTACTGGACCTCACAAATGCAAGTGAAGGGGCAGCCTTCCTAGCGCAGCACTGCACTTTCAGTAATGACGTTTATCCACGGTGTTTTTATTTACAAGTATCCAGCACAAAATCATCCATCTAATCCTTCTCTGATAAATGGCCAGCTTCAGATGCTTCAAAGGAAGATACAGATGTGCTGTATCGAAAAAGCTGTGCAATGAACTCTCCAGTAAGAAAAACGTCTTCCTATTCCTCTCCTTCAGGGGCTGCTTATGTCCCAAACATTTGTGATTGGGTTTTTTCTCCCCACCTTGTCCGGCATTCTCCCTATCCAGCTGAACGATAACTTTCACTGAACCTACCGATTTCTTATCGGAATTAGACAGCTTAATGTATGCACAGAGAAAATATAACTGATCTGAACTGATCAGCTTGACAGTTCTCACTTCTTAGCCATCTTGACTTATTCCTTCTTAGTTGGAGTATTTGCACTTTGATTATGTCAGCTGCTCCAAGAAAACAGTTTTGTTCTTTGACACCTGCAAAGCCTGAGAGTGCAACACCAATTTTGTTTATCAGGCATTATGAACATAATCGTCATTTTTGTCAAAATGCAGGTAAAATGCCTTTATGGCTAAAGATCTATTAACTCATTTTTCCTTTTAAAAGGTACATTATTACTATTAGTAATCTTCGAAGCCTCCAGTACCGACAGTGGTTTCAAGTTTGGAACATTTTAATGGAACATATTTATTGCTAGAACTAGCTTTGCAAATAACAGGATAGCAAAAATGTCATTTTTTGTATCTTATTACCACAACTTAGCTTAGGTGAATTACACCTGTGTTAAGCTACCACCAGTGAACAGCAGCCCTGCCAGGTTATACCTGACTTGTATCTACATCCAGTGCATGTTACAAGAATTAAAACTAGTTCTTTATGTTTCATAAGCAATTGAATACTTCCATACTCACTTCTCAGTGCTCAGAGGGCCACTGCATTGTGAGAATGCACTGGAGGGCTCTGGGACCCTAAGAAGTTTAGCCGGCTCAAGTGCAAAGCGCTTTACTTAACAGCACGTGTGAAAGTGTCCCCTGATCCCCAGATGGGTCCTCTGCCGATTTTAAAAGAAAAACAACCCCCAAACTTCTTTGGGGATGAAAACTGCAGGAAGGATGACTACAGAATGAAGGGAGAATGAAGATGACACCAGGCCAGAGGAGGAGTGATGTCTGTAATAAGATGTAGTCCTAAGCAAATCCTTAAATAGTAAAATGCATGTCAGTGATTAAAATAAATGCACAAATAAGAGCATAACAGGATGACTGAATTACAGTCTTAATTTGGTAGTCAGTGTGTGGTGAGTTAACACTGGTAGGCAGCTCAGCACCACACAGCTGCTTGCTCACTCCCCCTCCCAGTGGGATGGGCGAGAGAATCAGAGGGGCAAAGCATGAAAATCTGTGGGTTGAGATAAAGGCTTTTTAATAAATGAATAAGAAAAGGAAGCCAAACAACAACAACAAGAAAACAAGTGATGCTAAAGCAATCACTCACTACTAGTGGACTGATGCCCAGCCAGTCCCCAAGCAGTTTTTGGATAAGCTCCCACCCCAGTTTCATTCCTGAACATGCCGTTACACGCTACGGAACACCACTTTGCCCAGTTCGGGTCAGCTGTGCCAGCTGCGGCCCCTGCCAGGCTCTTGCCCACCCCGGCCTCCTCGCTGGGGTGCACAACGAGAAACAGAAGCAGCCTTGACCCTCTGTACGGCCTGCTCAGCAGCAGCTAAGGTACTGGTGTCTTAACAATGCTGTTTTGGTCACCAGTCTAAAAGACAGCACCATACAGGCTACTGTGCAGAAAATTAACCCCATCCCAGTCAGACCTAGTACACAGTGAAAAAACTTTACCAATTCGTTGTCATCGGTGTAATTTTACTTGCTGTCTTTGCTTCGCTGAGAATCACAGAGCCAATAAACAAAGTGCATTTTTTTTTCCTAAGTGTTTTTCCTGAAAATACCTTTGCTTAAATCCTGAGGATTAAAAAGGCTTATTCACACAGAAATACTCGAGATAAAAGTATTGTACCTGAAAGGCTCTTCAGTTGCCTACTGAAAAGATGGCAGCTGTTTCTAAAGTGGAGGTGCATGTGCAAATTCTCACACTATTTTTGAAAAGTATTCTTGAACAGGTAAGAGATATAGGTGCTCCTACCTCTGTTCCTACTAATTTCAAGAGGAGAATAGTCTGCCATGCTTCAGATGACTGGTTTAAGCTCATCTTGAGATTTATCTTCTCTGCCTTAAAAAGTAAATAGCCAGTGTGCATCAAACTTAATTCCCTATCTGTTCACAGTCAGACCTGTGTAATGCTGATTAAATTTTTTGTTTAGCTACTAAATTTTTGAAGCCCCAAGGCTTTCAGAATGGCTGGTCTTTATAAGCTTTCCATATGGATCCAGAGAAATATTCATGTGCATGCATTTTACTTGGCACAATGCCAATCATTTGAGATTCTCTGATAAATTTGCTATATGGAGGCTCATGTCCTACTTCAAAGAAAAAATACTGTAATGTGCAAATAATCTGTCAATTGTTGCTTGTTAATAAAAGCCTTGCCGTCATCCCTGATTTTATAGATGCATTTCAATCCATCAAATAAACATACGCATCAACATTAGTGCAAAGCAAATCTAAGAGCTAGTGGTCAGAAAGGGTGCTCTTCTGGCGTGACAGCATGCTGCTCCCCCCTTTAGTATGCATCCCTTAAATTTCTAGTACAACTAGTAAACGCTCACAAATCCTACAATTTCATGCCACTGATCTTGCTAGCACTGAAATAAAATCAGTATGAAGTCTCAGTATTCTCAATCCAGTTCCACCCTTTTTTTTTTAAATTGGAGCCATAGCCTACCTACTCGGAACTGAAGCCTTTCTTTTCAGCACTACTTGTCCCTGCCCTGAGAGCATTTTGCCCACGTTAGGCAACTGCATCTTCTTCCCAACCACACATGTAAAGCTGCCAAATTTCACCCTTACTCTGAGACATGACCTTGGTATCTGACCACACCTCTGCCCCACTGCTTCTCTCCTTTTCTGACACAACGAAGACCGGGCTCTGAGACCAGCTGCTCTGGGAACTTCTGTCCCTAATGCCCTTACCCGCATTCTGCCCGTGGAGCCAGTGAGAGTTCTGCTTCCAATTGTTAAGTGCAGTTCTCAACCACGCATACGGATTTTAGAAATTTAGTGCTAAGATGGTGAATCTTAGTACATCAAAGACTTGGAAGTAAAGCATGATCTTACAGACAGAAGTCTGTAAGTCTAGGGAACTCAAAAGGAGTCTTGCCATTAGATTTTCATTTCAGCTAAGTTGAAAAATGATCCTGTCATTCCAGTGAGAGCAGCATCCTTTTTTAACCCTGTCATTCTCACTGCATAAAGCCAGTAGTTTTCCTTTATGGAAGCTGACCTGTCTTGGACAAAAAAAATTACATTTATGCTCGCTGCAAAATAATAAATGATGAATTTCATCCTGTAAAACGTCTGTGAGTTAGCAATGACCCAAACCCACTCCTACAGATGTCAGTAGTAAAATTCCCCACGGAGCACAGTCAGGCTGGCATGAAGGGCTTGTGATGATTTCAAATTAAGCCTGTACTCTGCATGCTAATAATGGATGTCAGATAATAAAATACTAATAGCCAAGGAGCAACAAGAAGATAAGGTACACATTTACAAGGACTGTAGTTTGTGATGTTAAGAGATAAATTATGTAAGAAGTATGTAAGAAGTAAAAGCTATATTAGTAATTAGCTTCAGATAAAAACATTGTATTTCAGAGGCAGTACTTTTCTTCCAAGAGAAAAAATACCAGAGCATTGGCTTTATGTCTGGGCTGGAGGGATTAAGTGTGTCTGTGTACCAGTGGCTGACTACTTCTATTTGCACACACGCTGTAATCACAGGGTCCCATTCAACTGGAACACAGGTGTTCATATCACCTTGAGGAAAGTGGTCAGGGAAGTGGGATGTCAGGAGGTCTCTAGTAGAAGTCCCTATAAAGAGTGGTACAAGTATGAAAACTTAACAAAAATTAACAGAAGAGACTGGAGCAGCTGGAAAAGTTTTGTGATGTTTGATCACTGGGATACAGTCATTGGTCTTCCTGAATAATTGGCTTCATTCATGCACCAGGGAAATGGCTTTCTGAAATGACTTTAACCTGGCAAATAACAAAGAAGCTGCTACAACCCATGTGCCTGATTCTAGTGCATGGGAGGAGGGCAGCTGCATAACTAGGGATGCAGCGCCATACATAGGGATACCAGTGGAAGGTCTCTAAAATAAAACAGTGTTTCAAGATTAGGCAGAGGAGTAGTCCCCTTGATAATATTATAACATTGTTAGCAAAAGGACTGTGTCAGTTACAGCTAAATAATGAACTGTCATCAGCAAGAACCAGCTTGAACACTTGCAAACAAGCAATGAGACTGTGGGCAACAAAACACACACTTTGACTAATTGATGAGGATCTATCACTGAATATTATTAACATTACATAAGCAGAGTAGTAATAGCTCTTACTGGAGCATAAGGATACTTTAAGATGCAATACCTGGTAAAGTTTTAATTATGGTGGTTAGGGATGTGATGTAGTACAAGGGAATCAGAAGCACTAATGGAAAAAAAAGTCTTTTTGGATTAAAAGTGCTTCAAGAATGGAGGATAAAAGGTTGTACTGAGAGTTAAAAACTCGCAGGATCAAATCTATTTGGGCTAAGAACCTTTTAAATTAATTTTTTAAAATATTCATTTATATTTACAGAAAACCTTAATGTCATAAATAACTCCTGAAGAACAAATGCAACTAATAATCATAGCATTCGACTAATTCTCAGTCTAACAACTGACAGATTTCTGCACAAGTCCTTTCTGTGTGCTAGTAGCAAACATCTAGGGCAGATGCACCAAGCATTAGGAGAAAAATCCCTGGAACCACTCCTTGGTCCAGTCAATTCTTTAGATTCAGAAAAATAACACAATATTTGCGTACCATGATATCATGCATTTTTCTTTTAAACATAGGTAAGACAAGTTGCACTTTATCTAACGTGTTCATCTCAAGAACAGCTGAAGCTGACAAGTTCAATCCTTCTCATGCTTACACACTCCTGTGTGCACACATAAAAAAACACGTCCGGAACCTGACTTGCTCTGCTTCCAATAGATGGTTATTTACCAAAATGGCTGGGATTGTACGGTGGAGTAGAGCTCGCTTTTTTCTTTTAGGTGAGCTGAGAAACTAGCATATCAAAACCGTAGCTTTGTTTCTTTTACATTTTCAGCCTGCTTTACCATGTCAGTGTCCCACTACCTTCTCCTTCTTAAACTGAATTTTCAATTGCATTTCAGATTCCAGCTTCCGGTTCTTAAATAGAAGGAGACTTGATTTATTTAAATATTACTCAAGGAACAATCCATTTGATCTTGTTTGTTTTTTAAGAACCCAGTATTATACTTCAACTAATTTCTCCCAATGGCCCATCAGTGAAAGATAAATTCAACATATAAGAGTTACCTGCTGACAAGAGTAATGAAAGCAGAACCATCAGCACATTCAAGGACTGCCGACCACACCTTGTCATCGTTGGCTTTCATTGGTCCATTAGAGAATTACCTGTTTGACAAGATGCAACATTACGGTTAGGTGTCTGTTTCATCTCTCTCTTGTTGTTCAAGCTTCGGCTTCCCAGCAAAGCTCTGGTAAAATGAGATGGCTTCACACAATGAGGGGAAAAAAACCAAAAGAAAACACCCACACACTTTTTTCTGAACTTAGAAGTGAAATAAATTCTCCTTTCTATGATTTTGTTAAAATTTCTTTCTCATTTCATGAATGTATACAGCCATTTACATACTTTTCATTAACGCAGAGTAGAGATGAATCATACAAAGTCTTCACCGGATATTCACACCTCCCCTGTAATCTACGCTGAGCAAAACTGTGCTTGTTTTACTGTCACAAGGATGGGCTGTTCTATTATGCCTATAAGGACTAGAAGGACATAAACAATATAAAAATAAACCGGCTGCTCTGCAAGTCAATCTGTTTTGCCCCATTAGAGGGTGCAGTCGTTCAGAAAGTGGGTCGAGCAACTGAGATGGTTGGAAACGTTTCAAAAAAGTCTTTTCATTAGAATCAGAGCATTTCACCGGATTATTATTTCTCGTTTTCCTAGAAATGAGGGTGAGATGTGATGCAGCTTGGCTGGCACTCATCATAAAAAGGCTATACTAGTTTTTTTGCAGAACAACTCCTCAACTGGGTGAGTCCAAAAGCGTCTTCTATCCATGCACATTGATTCAGTGCCACCAGCTGCACATTCTACAGCTCTAGCAGAGGCTCTGTGCCACTGCAAGCGTTGTGATCAACTTTTTTTTTAATGCAGATCAATGCCGGACGTACACAGCCTTCAGCATCCTGAACTCACGTTGATACTGGAGAATAACAAAGAGGTAATTTATTGGTTTGTACAACAACTCTGGGAGCTTGGGCTGCAAACCAGAAAGCCTAGTGGTGCTACTGAAAGCTGGTAGGGAGAGTCTAATTCTTGGGTGGTTAAAAAAATTGTTCTAGGAGCAACTTGGAAAAAATAAAGGAAAATGGCGATTTCTGTAAAAAAATTACAGTTTGATCCTGACAGCTCAAGAGCAACATGATGCCAAATGCTTATGAAAGCCACTGCTGTCTCATATAAATAGTAGGTGGTTTACTAATAGGTGTCTACTACAATCTCCTGAATCCAATTAAAATCCCAAGACAATTGCACCTGCGTGTACCAAAAGGGGAGGGGGTGAAAATCAGTATTATGAATAAGGAAATTCTGAGTTACATATGAGGGAAGGCACAGGAGGGGAGACACTGTGCTATCTACAAAGTGTTTAGAGACAAAATTTCTCTCACTAACAAAAAAATGCTCTGTCTGGCACAGATTCTCTAAGAAACCATCTTAGTGTATGAAAACCAACAGATTTAAAATGTATGTATGTACAAAAATCAATGTAACTTTTGTACAAGAATTCATGATAGGTTATACTGTTACCTGCAAGCATGATTAACATCCAAACCACTGTATTTGTAGCTTTAAAATTAGCCAGTTCTTCCAAGGGGAAAACAGGTAGAAACTATAACACCACAAGGAAAAAAAATGAACAGCACAGAAACCTATGAATGCTAATTAGTAATATTTCTCTAAGCATCAATCCTGTTTGAAAAAGCCGCCACCTTTTTTCGGAAGGAATATCATATTAATTAAAACACCAAGCTGGCTTAAAGTTAGAATGGCATAAAAAAGAAGAGTACTGAATATAAGCCAGAGGTTAAGAATGTAGGAGTTTAATCAAGAAAAACAGATACAAAGAACAAGCTATTGCCAATACTGTTTGGAATAAACAGGAGTAAGATTTTTTTCCCCAAGTAAACCAAAGCTGCAGGAATTCTGATCGTGATTCATTACTAGCGGGAAACCTTGGCTTCAGCAACAGTTAATTAAAAAGAGATCAATAAGCACTTCTGTTGTGTATCTGGGAAGAGACAGATGTTGGTATAGCTGAGACTATTAAATATTTCCATATCAAGAATAATTTAGGATGACATTAATGAGCTGATACCAAGGCTGATAATTCGATATTTGCAATTCTGTGTAATTTGTGTCCCGTTCTTTCCGCAGTGCTGGCTGGGGGACATACACATCCCTTTTTCAGTTTGTTGGGAAGCTACGGCAGCTTTCAGAGGACTCAAAGAAACCTAAGGACATTTTTAGAAGTAAATGAGACAATTCAGGTAATTACAAGCTTGTGAGTGTGATGTGGATCTAGAGAAAGTTAATGGAATGGTTAATATAGAATCCAATTAATAAATCATTATGGAAAGTAATATAATTAATGCAAATCACTGTGGGCTTGTGGTAAGGTCAATTTTGTTTCTCTGTGGTGTGGCTAATGAAGGTAGCTTAAAGGCAGTAATAATAGAGTAGATTTCTGTAAAATATCTCACTTAGCATGCAATTTGACCAGGCAGTGAGAATGATGGAAAAGAAAAAAAAGCATATCAAGCATGTCAGTTCTAGAAGACTAACTCAGGAAGGAAACCAGACGCTTGGTGCTCGAAAAGTACAGCCTTGCTTGTAACTGAGTACATACAGCCTTATTGCTAATATTTCAGTCAGTACTGTAGGTAGAAATCTAGAAGCTTTTCAGGGAGGGGAAGATTTATTCAATTACGTCCAAGAGAACTGGCAAAACTGAAATTGGCATCTTAATGCAAGTCTTGTGATGCCTGGATTTTCTTAAGTGCCAGCTGGGCAGATAGAGCAAGGAGACTGGAACAGCAGAACCACGCACCACAGGCCAGGAGAGGGACAGAATCCGTGTATGTGTGTATATATATATACACACACACAGAGAATATGTACACATATATACATATTTGTCATGATAGGGAAATGCTCCAATTTTATAACTACTGATCATTAAACCGATACGACCATTTTTAGGAGGACAGAGATACAACTGACCCTTCGGTACGTGACCACTTCCATTGGTTTTTTTATTTTACATGCTGCTGTCTGATGAAGCGATCCCATTTAGGGCAGTACCACGAGGGCGTCTGTGACCTGTTCGAGCTCAGGCAGCCAGGTGGAAGAGACTGGCAGCAGAGCAGGCGGCACACTAAAAGGCAGGGCCGAGACCATAAAAATACTTCCTACTGCCAGGCCCCACAATAGAGAGCACAGAAACATGGTAATTAGCGGTGATCTAGCTGAGTAATTTTTTTAGGATTATTATTAGCCAGGACTGACAGGGCAATTTAAAATTAGAGAATTACAGTTGAAGGGAAGAGGAAAGGTAGATTTGCTGGTACAGTTGAAGGGAAGAGGAAAGGTAGATTTGCTGGTTGTTTCTTTCTTTTTTTTTTTTTTTTTAAACAAAATTTAAGTGCCTGGGGGCTAAGAGATTAGGTTTTCTTCCCAGTTTTCTAGATTAGAGATTACAAGCATGGTCTAATGCACAATTTTAATTATTGATGCACCACTTCAAGCTTCTTTGTGGTCACTGTGGAGGGAAGGAGAATGCCCACCCTTTTTCATACCTTTGAGAGTCCCAGTCTCACAACACCTCCTCCCTTCTACAGCAATAACAAGCATCTCTGCAGCTACATCATGAAGTAGACTACAGAAATGGTTGAGGAACCACAGTTTTAGAGGCTCTTTTCCGCTCTGTTTCAACACGTCTGCTAGGAAACAGAAGGACTGGCCCTTACTCATGGTTTTTTTAAGTACTTTTCTACCGTTTCATGGAATAAGGATTATGTTAGGAATATTGCTTTGCCTTGCAGCAGATGCAACAATGAATGATTCAAAGAGAGCAGCATTCAAAGGAAAGGTGTGTAACGCTGTAATGAAAGAGAACAGACATTAATATGAGACACAGCAGGTGGGTTCTGCCAACGAAGAGCCTGCAATTGGCACTGTAACTTCTAATCTCATCACCACTACAGAAACTGAAATCGTTTGCCTTTTAACTTCTCTCCTCAGCATAGAATCATAGGTTGGAAAAGACCTCTAAGATCATCAGGTCCAACCATCTGCCCAACAACACCATGCCTACTAGACCATATCCCAGACTGCCATATCTACACATTTCTTAAACGCCTCCAGTGATGGGGACTCCACCACCTCCCTGGGCAGCCTGTTCCAACGCCTGACCACTCTTTCAGTGAAGAAATTTTTCCCAATATCCAATCTAAACCTCCCTGACGCAACTGGAGGCCATTGCCTCTCGTCCTGTCGCTGGTTACTTGGGAGAAGAGACCAACACCTGCCTCTCTACACCCTCCTGTCAGGTAGCTGTAGAGGGCAGTAAGGTCCCCCCTCAGCCTCCTCTTCTCCAGACTAAACAGCCCCAGCTCCCTCAGCTGCTCCTCATCAGACTTGTTCTCCAGACCCCTCACCAGCCTCGCTGCCCTTCTCTGGACACGCTCCAGCCCCTCAATGTCCTTCTTGGAG